AAACAACGCTTGTGCTTCCACTCCAGCCAGCACACGTTTCCGGCAGAAAGGGCTTTCTTCCAGTCAGCACTGTGTGTTCTCGGCCAGGCTCAGGACCAACCTGGATCTTGGACCCTCCGAGTCACCCCGGAAGGCCTGGAGCTGGATACATTGGTATTCCTGACAGATGAGCACTAGCATTTAGCCCAGCCAAGCCCTGTCAGGCTTGCTTTCCTTGTGCATAAAGAAAAGGTGCCTAGTCATTGTAGCTTGCAACTTGAGCAGTGGAGCCTGGGGCACCTCCCTGGGTGGGGAGCATGGAGCCGCCTCAACAGCCTCTGTCAGCTCCTTCCCAGGGGTGCTGTGCCAGGCAGCACTAAGGCAGTGCTGTTGACACTCAGGGAACTTTTACGGCAGTTGGGCCCCACCTTGCATGGACTGCTGGATGGGGTGGGAAGAGATTGTCACCCTTGTCCCCTTTTCTCCTAGTGCCTGGGTTTCCCTGAGACTGCCAGGGTGGTGGAGGTGGCTACTTCGTTCTTGTGGATAGTAAAGAGGCATGTGTTTATTTTATTGTGGGGAGATGAAGCGGATTCTCTCCTGGGTGGACTAAGGCACTCTGGAGAAAGGCATGTAGAGGGGCTGTTTCACTGGCCCCAGCCACAGCTCCTCCTGGGAAATACAAAGCTATGAAGCTATTTAAGGGCGGGAGGACTAGGAGAAACACAAAGTCCCAAACCCAGGTAGTTGCTTTCCAGACTCAGTGGCTTTTACTGTCTCCCTCCCCACCTGCACTCCCCGGATGAGCAAGGGCATCCAGCCAGCCTGCGGGTCTGGTGACTCAGATGAGTCAAGCCCTCAGGGAAGCGTTGGTCTGTGTTACTGTGCGTAGCAGAGGTGCTGTTGCTGCTGTGGTCACCCAGTCGGGACAGGAAAATGGTTTTACCAGCACTGACCCTTTGACCCACTCATCCACTCATTTGTTTGTTCCATTTACCCAGGCTCCTGTACCAGTGCTATGCTTAGAGGCTCAGGAAGGAGAACAGTTCTGTTACAGTTGATTCTGAGGAGGTCACAGGTCACAAGCTGGCAAGGGCTGTGTGTACAGAAGACTTGCCTGCTGTGATCTGTGCAAAAAAAAACAAAACAAAAAAAAAACAACCCGCAAAAACTGTCTGCTGAGGCTGTAGATCAGAGAAGTCTCCGAGGTGGAGGTGACCATGGACAGCAAGTTTTGAAATAACAGTATTCCCTGCAACAAAACTATACCTGTGTAAGGCTGGTGTGAGTATGGGAGACTGAGACAATAAATCCATTTCAAATTTTAGAACACTGAATTGGAAAGCAGCGGCAGCTGTAGAGGGGAAAGCGTGCTGCCTTGACATTCACCTTCTGCCCTGGGCCTCAGTTTCGCTGCTTGGCCAGTGACCTGGCAGCGTGCCTCTGGGCCTCTGTTGCCCTCCTCTGGCCTAGGGCTGAGGAAGCACTCTGAGAACCACGCTTGCCAGGGGTAGCTGAGAACAATCACAATGGGCAAAGCAATCCCTTACCAGTCAACTGCCCCATCATAGCGAGCAATGCTGCTGTCATTCCAAAAAGCTCTTCAGAATTCTCCAGGGACCTAGAGACTTTCTCCATGTTCCACAACCCCAGAGGGAGGTGGAGGTTCAGTTCAACTCTTGCCTCTGCTGTGCTCTAGCTGTGAACTTTGACGGACTGCCTTTGGCAAATTACTCAATCACTAGCTCCCTCATCTGAACGAGGTAACAGCCTCTGCCCCCTAGCTGGTTGTGGTGGTGAAAGTCACTCTGTTCCACAAATAGTGGCACACACCTCTGCTCTGTATCACTCTCTGGATACAAAGGGCTCAGGCAGTCCCAGTTCTTCATGGAGTCACCGTGTGACAGGGGCGGCCTGTGTGTAGAGGGTGTGCATGTGTGCACAGGCATGCAGGCATGGTGTCAATCACAATGTCTGGGACAGCACAGCTGCCACCTCCAGCCCCAAGGGTCAGATGGGGACGAACAAGTAGCACCTGCATGTGTCTCTTCCCACTCGCCAGCCCACCTTGCCCAGCCTCTCCCCGGGATATAGCGTGGGGAGATGCTGGGTGGTCACAGCGCTGATGTCCAGTCACTGAGCTGCGCTATCATTTAAGGACTCCAAAGTCCTCAGGAACGTTCATTAATAACCCCGACCTCTTGTGCCGGGATGCAAACAGCTCTTCAGTCTCCTTTTGGGTTGGAGCCCCGGTGAGTCAGGGCAATGAGTGCTGAGGTGGGGCTGTGGTGTGGAGGGGTGGGGGGAACTGACTCCCTGGGGCACTGGGCACTGGACAGGCCCTTAGAGGGACTGCAGCCGGCTCCTGGGTACGGTGGGAACAAGTGTCAGCATGAAGACCAGGTCTTTTCTACTGGGGCATTTGGTGAATTTCTGTAGCTGCACCAAGCTTTTGTGTAGTTAATATGGAGAATTTCATTATAAATTCCTTTTAAATGTATTTTTATTACACTTAGGGTATTATTTTAGAATTGTGCTCGTAGGCATAGGTCTCTACGAATTCCAGGCCAGGTCAATAAAGGTGGAATTACAAAATATTTTTTTAAAATGGTGAATGGGGGGTGAGGTGCCTGCTGGAGTGGAGGCCCCTGGTGCAGACCACATGGCAAATGGGGTCACTGCTTGCACCCCATTGCTAGAGTCCACTTCCCCGTCTGGAGGTCCTGGTGGGAGAGGGTGGGGGTCAAATAGAAGTCAGGGGGCCTCCCAGTGCCAGCAGGACGGGAGGACTTCAGCCAGCTCTGTTCGGGGGAAGAACCCTGCCTGGGAGAGGCCTAGGAGGGCCAGAGTCTGGGAGACACATCAGAGATAGAAACAACAGAATTGGGCTTGGGCAGCAAAATGTGTTTTGTACCTGCTTCAGAAGCCAGGGCACCGTCGCCAACACTCCGAGACTCCATAGAAAATGGGGGTTGGTTTGCTGAGCCTTGCAAGGACTCAGGTACACCCAACCCGCCTTTCTAGAGTGACAGGGACCTGGTAAGAAAATAGTCCCTGTGGATGGTGGCTGCCTTCCTGGCTCCATGTTCTGGGGCCCATTCTGGGGCCGTTCAGGCTGAGGCACTGACAGGATGTAAGCACAGTCTGTGCCGCCGCCTGCCGCGGGATGACAGGAAGTCAGTGTTGCGTGTTGGGGTCCCTTGCAGTTCTTGCCCTCCACCTCTCAGGGGTGTGGAGAGGGTTAAATAAGAATGCATACAAAGCATGCAGCACATGACACATGTCTGTTCTGATTCCTTGTGGAATTACATTTCCAATTTATTTAAATTCATCTGAAGGAAATGTTTGTCAAACATGGAATGACTATCACATTAATTTTGTATGATCTCCTTTCAAGCTATTCTGCTTGTTGGGCAAATCTCTTACTAGTTATCTTCACTTTTAGTGAAGTTACCTGGAGAACCTGAAGAGGGGTAAGGCGCCCGTGGAGCTCGGAGCCCGACCCTCCCGCCAGCGAGGGGACAGCACAGGTTCACCGCGGGTTGTGTGTGCGTGTGGCAGCTGCTGTCTCCTGGCCTAACTCCTCAGCAGACTCAGAGAGGTTTAGGATCTTGACCTGGTCTCAGCTCTTGAGAGGCCTGTTAGTAGGAGAGGCCTCTTCATACTGCATATAGTAGGTCACCCAACAGGCGCCGTCTGAAAGGAGGAGACATAGACTGAGTCTCAGGCTTCGCTTCAGTGACCATTTCTCTCTGCTCTTCCCTTCAGCCTTCCAAGGACCTGACTTCGTCTGAGGGTGGGCTTCCCTCCGTGACCACCCGGTGGTCCAATTTCTAGCTTCTCACTTACAACAGTACGAGAGACAGGTTGTTCTTGGGACAAACATTTGTTTCCCAGAAGCCTCAATAATCTTTTACTGTTTTCTTACATAAACATCAGGTTGTTAGCAACATTCAATCTATGAATCGGGATCCCTAACGGAGTGAAAACATCATTGCAAACAAACCAGAAACCTACAACCCCATCCTTTACAGCTTATTCAGTACCCACTGACCCGAGTTTTTCACAAAATTCCAACGGACTAGTTACCTGGTTTCCCAGGTCATGACAGATAAAAAGCAGCAGGTGAGTAGATCATTCTAGCTTTTAATAAGTTGTGGTAATGAGTGACTTAAGAAACTATAAACAGCAGCCCAGAACACTTGATCACGGAGGCCACGGAGTAAAGAAAGGAATTCTAGACCAACCAGCTCTGTGGTCTGCATGGCTTCAGGTCCTTGGGCCACCATGGGCTTCATAAGCAGCCTTTGGCACATAACCTCAATCCGTCTCAGCTTCAGCTTCTTTCTCCCTAAAATGGGTTATTGTGCAGATCAAGAAGATAATGAGACAGCAATCCGTAAGTGTTGAATGAGCATGCAACATTAACGATGGCTGCTGCATGTGTGAATAAAAATAGTCACAAAGCAAGAGTTAGCATATGCTCTGCTCTAAGAAAGCAGGCAGGTATGGCAAACATTTTGGGGAGAATCCTGTTGAGACATTAAAAAGTTAACATTATTAGGGAGATATATGATTAACCCATTTGTCTTTAAACTTTTCTCTATTTCCCATAATAATCACATTTTACTCCCCTCACTCTTTCCTTCCTGTCCTAGATGCCTGACACACAACGGGAAGTCAGTTACACATGGAGTGGATTTGGGGAATGACCCGAACTGTCAACTTTCCTGTAAAACTGTGTTTTTGGCCGTGACTAGAACTGTATGTATCCTCCACCTGGGGAAACCTTTGAGGAAGAGATTCTTTAGATGTGCTCTCATCTAAGGCTTCCATGTGGCCCGTGATCCGGCTGGCCGGGACAGCTTAGACACAGGTAGGCAAGGGTTTCGCCAGCCTTGTTCTCTCACACCACCCCATCTGTCCAGTATTAATTAGGCTCTGGCAAAGTAGAACAACTCATTCAAAAGATTCCACTTCTACAAATTAAATAAAAACACGACTAAAATTTATGAGGTGCTAAAACTTGGTTTTGAACTTTTATTAAAAAAATATATTTGCAAACATATAAAATTTAGGATGAAAAATGCTCATTTGAAAACATGTAATAACTTAATATTTGCAAACATACATAGATGGTACAAAATTCATACCATTAAAAATGTTGATGATGCAGTACTGAGCTCATGGAACAAAAACCTTGCTGTAAGTCCAGAGCTTCTCGCCCCTGCCTCCCAGGGAGCCAAGACTGGTACACTGAAAGTCATGAAAGCCACATGGCCAAAGCAGTAATACAGAATAAAAAAACATTTAGAACACGTACTTTAAAAACACATTTAAGGAATTGCAGATAAAAGGAACACACCTTTGCATTTTCCCCACTCTAAGTGAAGGACATTGCATCTTAGCATTTAATGACAGTATTGGATCAAATACAAAACCAAGTGAAACATTGCACATATTTTTCTTGCTGAAAAACAGGCTCCTCGAGGCCCCAGTGCACTCAGGGAAATGTTCTCAAGCACAGCTTTTCAAAAGCCCAGTGTTAGTTGCTTTACTTGGTGCAGATCTTAACATTTTAGACACCTGAAAACACAGGGCTTACAAGCTACTCTGAATACAAGCGAAGAAAACCAAAGATGGTTAAGAAAGAAACACATGCTCAGCAGCAAATGTGCAGCAAGAATGCAGGACACACATCCCTGGGACTCCTTGTCTTTACTCACAGGGACTGGGCCCACTCATGCCTGTGCCACCTCTCATTCCTCTGTGTTTCTACATTTTGCCCAGAGTTACAGTATGATGGCTGACTTAATTTTTTTAAGCAGTTAGGCACCTTCAATTTCATGTTGCATTATTAGTAATACAGTGGCAGTTATGGCCTCTACTACCAAAATGAGAAAATTTCAAACTACATTCTTTGGGGAGGAGAATAATAAAGCTGCATTGTTTAAAAATACCTAGTACAGGATTTGATGGGGGTTGTAATTTTTACAAGAAAACATAGGCAGAAAAAGAACAAATGTTTGACATGCAAAATTGGGTCCAACATATCCTAAACTAAGCCTGTGCATCCTCTGGCAGAGAAGGACCCAGGTCAACTCAGGCTCTTAACAAAACACCTCTCTGTGATGATGACCCAAAAGCCTTAGAAGAAAAGCTGTGGACATTCACATGCAGACAACGAAATGCTTCTCCTGATGCTGACAGTCATTTGAAAACTCAGGATTCAAAACCACACCTTACAAATCCCAGGAGCTCCTGCCTTAAAGGAACAAGGTCATTTGGGAGGGGCAGGAGTCCATTCACAGACATCACACAAACTACAACAGAAGAGCAGTAACACCCCCACCTCCGGTGTTGGGGGTGGGCACACAGATACACAGGATGGCCTAAATGCACATCACCTGGAGTTCTGCAAAGCCTAGCAATAAGCATCTCTTTTGGTGTCCATTACAATTCAACGAAGGTCCCAGTAAAGACACTGTAGCAATGTAAACATGCAACCCAAGCTAGCACGAGGTTCTGGAGAGTGCGCCTGAAAGAGGAATAAGGCAACTGAACTGGGACTTTTGAGCCAGAGGTATCCAAGTGCAATTATCCAGGCTTGGCCTGACTTTTCTAGGAACTCATTCTGGCCTTAACTTCCTGGTAATCATGATGGTGAACTTCTGGCTTCTGAACTTTATATAAATGCTTTCAATATATAAATTTTGAAGTTGAAACAGGCATACCCTTTTCAAGTCTCCATGACTTGGGCACTTAAAAAGTTTACTTTCACATTAAGGAAACCTTATCACAGATTCTCTTTACCATCTACCATATTTATTCCCTTAGATTAAAGGATGAAAATTAAGATTTGATTACAAACCCTCCTTAGGATATTCTCTCTTAACTCCCCTAATGTTATACATACTTGAGTCATCATTTCCATTCAAATGTCTAACAAGAATCCCTTGATGCTTCTGTCTACCAGAGCCCACCGAGACTATACTTGGGGTGTGATCAAACCTACTGGTACAACTGTTTTTAGAGAACAGTCACGTGGCTCCCTGTTACCACGTGGCTCACGTGGCTCCATCTCCTGGTGTTAGTAACTCTGCGTACCTTACCCTTCGCTTTCCCTGTGATACATGAGCAATTCATTTTTGGTTGCTGAATTTACACACTACCTTTGTAAACAAACTATTCCTAATTGAGTATGAGAACTTACAAGGTTTCCCGACTTCTGCACAATTCACACACAACTAGGCAGATGCAATAGAGGACACTAAATTGAGAAGAAGAAAAGCTGCCCAGGAAGCATGTTTAGATTAACAAAAGCCAATCAAACAAAGCATTCTTGCTAAAAAACTAAGACTGAACTAAAACAAGTATGTAATTCACAAGTAATTTTCTAAAATCTCAGCTAGGAAAAAAAAAAATCTATGGACTTAATGATTGAGTTACCATTAAAGCTTAAATGATTGTTCCCGAGGAACCGTCACACCTGTCAGCGTTATTCACAGCTAATCCTTACGCTAGCTGGTTGAGCCACTGGGGTTTTTACCCAATCATTAAATAGTGCTCAGAAAAGTAAGCAGTGCATCTTAATTGGTTAAATACTACAAAATGACCTGTATCATAGAAACGAAGACACTTTCATTCAAAGAATATCTTAAAATTACTATTGCTGAAATAAATCAAAGTCTACATTAAAATATTACTAATCACCATCACATGCCATAAAAGAATAAATATAAATCATGGCAGATTAATAGCAGCATAACAAAGCGTCTTTACATATTTTCACACTTTGGGCTGCAAAAGTAGTCACAGCCTAGGAATACATTGGTAAAGTTCTGAATTTCACTTTGTTTTAACTCCATATACTACAGTAAAGTAAGGGCAGTGTGAGTAACAGCTCCCTTTTCTGCATAGCTTCAAAATTATTCTCAGTAGACTCGAGGAATGGAACCAGAAATGGCTTTGTCAGATTGGTCCACTGGTCTTTTGTCAAAGTGTTAAGGAAAACAATCAACAATGACTTCTGTGTTTACAGAAAAGGAAAATAAGGCTATGCTTCACACACAAATGTAACATTTTCGAAACCACTGGAGAGTTTAACTTAAAGTGAAGATTTTTGATAGAAATTTGAGCTTTACTAGCCCCAGCCTTTGCTTCAAAGGTGTGACATGCTTGCTCCCATACCACCACAGGGACTGACAGGACCCTGGGAGCTTGCTGCATGTCAGCACCGAGGACACCTAAAAGCAAAACACAACTTTCAGAACTTCAAAGGCCCAAATGAGGCATTCATAGGAAATATACTTCATTTGAACAAATCAGTCTTGTCAATTTCAACGCTGATCTTTTACAACTAGAAGCTACACTGCACAGAGCTGACTTCTGCTCTGTTCAGAACTTGATTATCAGCCTAATGCTCAGGTTTCCAGGGGACAGAGGAGGAAAGGGGTATGGGCTGGGCTGAACTCTGCTGCAAGGCTGGTGATACTTCCTTCCTAAGACCTTGAAAGTGAAAGCAGCTGAAAATCAGACTCCTTATGTCACATACTTGCTTACAGCTGATGAAAACACCCACACAACTTAACACAATGGTCCTTTTTTTTTCTTTTTTCTTTTGTCAAAACAAAGGTCTGCTGGTGATGTTTCACAGTGAAACCTCCATTATCACTGAGAATGTCACTTGGAAAACATTCTTAAGAAACGAGTCTCTTTCTCATAGGCTCAATTTCAGGATTCTCAAAACTCAATGTTTTGTTTAGAAGTTTCCACGATGAGGCCCATTAGTTTCTGAGGTTGAGATTCTGTCTTCAGACTGATCTCTGCTCCAGTCATAGGTTGTGGTTGTCTTTGTTCTTGGTCAGAACCTGCAGGTAGACCTCATGAAGCGTACTGAGGAAGCTGGAGTCATTCTGGAAGAGAGAAGGTAATGTCACAGTGACCTCATCAGGACTACATCTTTGATAGCAGCTTAGGAAAATAGATTGTATAAATGATTTGTATAACTAGTCACCCAAAGAATCACCCCACTGCCCAGGAAAAACCATGATTAATATTTTGGAATTTGCTCAGATAGTCTTCCACTGGAGGTATATGCTCAGAAAGAAAGAAACATTACTCCTAGCTAGTCCTTAATTTACTTTATGACCTAATTTCTAAGAACTTATAATGTTTTTTAAATTAAAAAATGAAAATTCAAAGAACAAACTGATCCTACATACCTTGATTAGATGTATTAATGTATCCTGAAGCTGAGACTTGCTGAGAATAATGGAAGGCTTTCTCTGATTTTCTGATGTTGCAACAGTTAGAGGAGAAGGGGAGCTTGCTTTCCCCTCTAGGTCTGTGGCCCTTGCAGCTGTCTGCTGGAAAACACTTGGGGACAGCAGGACTGAAGACACTGCAGTGGTCGTTGCAGTAACCAGTGGAGGGCCTGCGACCTGCAGGGGAACAATGGTCACTTCGTACCAAAGTGCAGAAGCCAGCAGCCAGTCCCAGAGTAGGAAACCCCCGGTAACCTGTTGAGTAGCAGGAGACTGGAGCAGAGTCCAATGTGACTACGTGGAGTTCAGATTAGCATTCAGCAGAAGCATCTGAGCACTTTCTATCTGGTTAGGAAGCCCATTTATGTGATAAGAATGCTGTAGAGCTATTATGGGAAACCAAGTCTGATCACCACAGAAGGGAAATATGATAAACAGCATGGTATACACAATATGAACAATGCTATGATAAATTAAAATGTAAAGTTTTTATATGGGGGGCAGGGAAATGACTGGAAGAGGGCACAAGGGAACTTTCTGGGGTGACGGAAATGTCGCATATAGTGATTGGACGGGGTTACTCAAGGGGTACACATATGTCAAAACTCATAAAAACCTGCATTTTATTACATGTAAATTCTACTTCAATTAAGAAGACAATTAAAAAATCCAGTTACATAAATATTAGTTTCTTTTGAAGTGTTGGATTAATTTATTATACCATTGCAGGTGTCAAAGATACAATTTCTTTAAAATTAACATCCACCTCCCTCCCCCCATCTGGAGGTGTTTTTTAGATAGTTATGCTAACCATCAGAACATGCCAATAATTTTTAATAATTCTCACATTTGATAAAACAAGAGATCTACATTTCTCTTTCCCCTGTCACCCTCCTCACGTATAAATAGCACAGCCTGCCACAGTTTTAAGGGTTATGGGTTTGGTGTCTGAGCCATTTAGGTTTTTTTGGTGCAGCATTGGGCTGAGAGCTCCTGCTGATCATCATGCAGCAGGACGAGCCACAGAAATGACCAGTTGGCAAGACCAGCCAGAAGCTGCTTTGGTTTAAAATCCGAGACTTGAGGAGAGGTATAAGGATTCAAAGGCAAATAGAAATGCAAAATTTTAGGAACGGAAAGAAATAAGTGTGCACTTCAAGGCTAGTGGGTGGGAACAAATTTCAAAACATGGGGCAGGGAGGACAAGAAAGGGACAGATCACACAGGCCTGGGAGGCTCTGTCAGAACAGCAGTGGGAAGCCAATGACAGCAGTGCAGCTGGTAGTGATGCTGCCCTGTTACCTGGGACATCACAGCTCTTCCAGGGCAAGGACTATGTCCCACTCAGAGAACCTGGCTGACGTGCTTTTAGCAGTCACCCATTCATAAACACTGAGTGACTGTCCAACCTGTGGCTGACACCGCCCTCATACACACAGGGAAGATAACCATTCAGAGAGACGGCACGAGGTCTATACAGAGGTCACAGCAGTGAACTCTGGGGAGCTGGGGGAGCCTGGCCTAGGAGGGCTATCTACAATAGGCCTAGGCTTGAAAGCTAAAACATTTCACTCAAATACTTCATACCCTGCAGAACTTAAACATAATGTGTTCTTTGAAAAATCAGAGTCCTTACCGGGATGGCACTGGATAACACCTTTGGCTGGGAAAAGACTTCAGGATCCTGGTTTTGCTGCATAGACTGCAATGTTTAAAAAAGAAAGATGAACAGATGCAGTACATTTCAATGAAGATCTCCTAGTTCCTGGGGAAAAAGGCAGGTGAGCAACAGGGAACGCTAGCAGGAGTTCACACTAACTAGTTCCTAGATTCCTGAGGGAAGAGGCTGACAGGAACTTGTGACAATGCAACTGATGATTTGACCGCAGGACGAGAGTGGCAGGACAGGTCCCCACCCCTTCAGTTCTCCAGGGAGGTGTGTGCAAAGCCTGTAAGGTATTGCTAAGGAAAAAGCTGGAACCTGTATCTCTTCATAAGAGCTGGAGACAGACCAAGCATATTTTTGCTGTTGAGTCTGCAGAGATGCAAGATCCTGGCAGCATACCTCTTGATTTGGTAATTTATAAACTCTGGGCAGGTGGCACTAAACGGTTTTCATCTGAGTCACACTTACACATGCTAAATTTTGTCCTCATTCATGGGGAAAGAAAGAACTTGCAGAGCAAATACGTTAGACCTCAATGAAGCCCTAGGTCTTAAAATTCAATATTGCCATGTAAATGAAAAGGCACACATATGTAAGCTTCCCTTGAAAGAAGGCGTGCTAGAGAGCAGGGTGCTCTCCCAGAGGCCAAAATCTGGAGGGGGTAGCGTTCAAGAGTGATGGCTGCACTTCTAGAGCTTTGTCGTCAGGGCAATGGCAGCAGGCACATTTCAGGGCATAATGCTTAACTATTAAATAAGACACTCTCCTCTCATTGAATGCAGAGAACCTCAAGAGAAATGGCTCAAAACGACAACTGAATAATGTAACCAAGATACTAAATTTCTTCTTTCAAAAGTATGAAACAAAATATCCCACTAACTAAGAAATAATATACAATTAGTATGATGGGCTCTTCTAAACATTATTCAGTAAAATGTTAAGATTGGGGGTTGTTATTATTATTAAAGGGCATGAGGCTAAGATCTTGAAAGGTAAGCAATACAATTAGAGGGCACTACCTCCTTTCAGTTCTGTGATCTCACAACTCACCAACCTTATAATCACTCAGTTCCCAACCCCTCTCTGAGTGGCTGTCTCACACCTGGCACAGCAGGGTGCTGTAAGAGCATCCCAGGTTTGGAGACATGTGGTCAAGTAAAGCTTCCTGGTGAAACTGATGTTTAGCTGAGATCTGAACATCACCCCCTCGCTCCTAATCTGCCATGAAGCCTCACCAATCACTTTTAACAAATCTGCTTGTCCACATTCCCACATTCAGGCCTCCATCAACTCAAGCCTGGGTGACTGCCACAGTCTCCTCCCTGATGGGTCAGCTTACTTGTCTTCTCCTTTCCCATCATGCCATCCTTTCCTCAAAGCCCTGGAAAGATTCCCCAGGGCTCTGAGGACAAACCTCTAACTCTGTAACACAATTTACAATGTCTTGCTCATCAACAAATACCATCTCCCCCAAGTTTTTTTCTACAGTGGATCCAGTCACAAAACTGAGTTTTAGCAAATGCCTTCTCATTCCTAGGCCTTTGCACATGCTACTCTCCTTGCCTCAAACACTTTTCACACCTCTAGGAAAAGTCTGGCTAATTTTTACTGAGCTTTCAGATCTCAGGTGAACATCAGTTCATCAAGAAGCTTTATCATACCTCCAAACCTGGGATGCTCTTACAGCACCTGAGTGTGCCTGGCACAAGGCAGGCACTGAACACGCACTGAGGGAGTTGGGAACTGATCAAAAACTGGGATAATTTGGATCTGGGTGGTCCTGAGTCAAATGAGGACTTCTGGAACTATCAGGCAAAAACAAACAAAACCCCCCTAAAATACATATCCTGATAGGAAAATACAGTTTCTCAGCTTTTATCAAGGAATAATTTGGGGAAGTAGAATTGCATTATAACAACATTTGTCAATTTGGTTGTTCACTACAGGACTTCTGACCTCTCCTTTCTTCTAGCCCCTGACATGCTCAACAGTTGTCTCTAGTTTTTAAAAAATATTTTATTTATTTTTAGAGGGAAAAAGAGGGAGAAAGAGAGGAAGTGAAACATCATTGTGCGGTTGCCTCTCACACACCCTGCACTAGGGACCTGGCCAGCAACCCAGACATGTACCCTGACTGGGAATTGAACTGGCGACCCTTTGATTTGCAGGCTGATGCTCAATCTACTGAGTCACACCAGCCAGGACTCAATAGTTGTCTCTTTAAAACGACTCTCTCAGCCCTGACTGGTGTGGCTCAGTGAAATGGGAGTCATCCTGCAAGCAGAAAGGCTGCCGGTCGGCACAGGCCTGGGTAGCAGACCAGGTCCCCAGCTGGGGGCATGTGAGAGGCAGTTGATTGGTTTCTCGCACACATCAATGTTTCTCTCCCTCCTTTCCCCTCTCCTCTAAATAAATAAATAAATAAATAAATAAATAAATAAATAAATAAGCAAGTAAATAAATAAGTAAATAAAATAAAATAAAATAAAATGAAATAAAATAAAATGACTCTGTCTCATGTTAATCAAAACCATGGTCTTTCCAGTTCCATCCCACTCAGTTACAGCACCCACCCTGCTGCCAGTACCTGAAGGGGAGCAAGCACCATGTTGTTCAGGGTGGTGGAAGCTCTCGCTGCTGCCATCTTAGGGGGAGGCTCTATGAAGCTCTCAGGCGTGGCCAGCTGGCCGGCTGCTGGAGAAAAGCTGGGTGCCATTGCACCCTTCCCAAGTGACTGTGTCTGTATTTGGTCATGCTGTGGGGTCAACCTGAGTTTCTGGAGAAGATCAACACTTGGGACGGATGTTCCAGCGGTATTTGTCACGCTCAGTGGGGCCCTGAAGGGGCTCTGGCTGGCAGTCAAGCTGGCATGGCTCAGCTCAGGGACTGGCTGACTCAGGAGTGGAGACCTCTGTCTAGGTGTGGTCTTCACCGCTTGCATCATGGTGGTGTTTCGGGGTAAGCTGGCGGGAACCTGTGCAGCAGGAGCTTCTGCTGGTAGAGTGGGACTGAGCCCAGGGCGCAGCGGGATCGCATAGCTTGGGGTCTGCTTTTCACTGGACTGTGAGATGGAGGCAGGAGTGATTAGCACCGGGGAGCTGACTTCAGGCTGGACTGAGTGGTGGGCAACAGGACGGACACCCAGGTTTTCTGACTGAAGGGCCCCTCCTGATTGCTCAAAGGAAAATGGTAGGAATGAGCCGGGCTCTTTCTGAGAGGAGTCTCCTGGCAGCCTTTCCACTTCTTCCGAATCCAGACCCACAACTGGTGGCTGTTCCTTTGGCAAAGAAGTTCCAAATAATTCTTCTACTGTCAGATGTTTGTGTCCAGATGGAGCAGACTGAAAAACAAATCAAACCACCCAATGAAAGAAATCTCCTGCAAACCAGTGTAACTAACCTTTTTTTCATCAACCACAAACAGTTTGCAGAAGCAATGATGATGGACTCTGAAAATAAGACAATGGAACAAACTAAAGATGTACTAGCAATAAAGGCCAAGGTACAGCAGGTTGGTGGGTAGAAATCTTCATCAGTAATAAAAGTAAAGTTTAGGGTCTCCAGATGATAATGTAAGAAGTCTTTTTTTTTTCTTCCCTGGGCAAGTAATTGAGATCAGGTGAAGGGACAATGACTTTACTACAAAGTTAATCATGCCTACTGCCCCATGTTAACAACACACTTTGGGAAATTACACTCAGGAGGGGAGAAGGACCAAGTGCTGATCAAGTAATCCTATCATTATTTTCAATGTTTTTGATAAAAACTAGGCATTGCCACCTTGAGGACTGGGTCTCAGATACCAGAAAATAAACGTAACTGTTTAAAACAAATAGGCCATTCCTCATCCTACTCTCAAATCACAGAATTCTTAAGAAAAGCCTAAGCATTTAGGCTGAAAATGTTAAATTTACATATATTCTTCTGATCTGGCTTACTGATACCACAGCAATGATTTAAAGGAGAAGCATTCAAATTTTTCACTAATGAGCTTTCCTGCACCTCCACATAGTGCTGCCTATTCATTTAGCCTTGATTTACCGAGTACTCACAGGGTACCAGGTCCTGCTCTGACCTGGGCCCAAGGGACACTGAAGGGAGTGACAAAAAAGTCCTATTAGAGCTTATGTTCTAGTGGGGGACAAACCTAAGTACTTTGACAACACAAGTGGCCTCAACTTATAGTTTTATTTCTAAAGTGTGTGGACTAAGTTGTTCAGATGTTTATATGGAAAGAATAATTTGTTGAAATGCATGATTTCCAGGGCCTCAAAACATCTATAAAAGCTAAAGCAACTGTAAGTTAAGTATAATCATGATAGTTCTATGGTATGACTACATTTCTACAGAAAAATGAGCCCAGTTTTTCCTAGGCAAATATTTGTTTCATCCATTTGACAAACAATTCCTGATTTTGCCTTCACTGGTGTGACTCAGTGGCTGAGTGCTGGCCTGTGAACCAAAGGGTCACTGGTTCGATTCCCAGTCAGGGCACATGCCTGGGTTGTAGGCCAGGTCCCCCGGGGGGCGTGCAAGGGGCAGCTACACATTGATGTTTCTCTCCGCTTTCTCCTTTCCTTCCCCTCTCTCTAAAAATAAATAAAACCTTTAAAAAAACCCAAAAAAACCCCCCTGCTGATTCTGCCCGGTGCCAGGAGCATTGTGCTATGATGGTAGTTGTCAGGAAGAGAAGGGGGAGGGAGCTTACTGGCCACAGGCTTTTAAGAGGAGAGGGCTGGGATGCCCTCTGTCGAGGAGAAACAGCAGAGGAAGGCCAATGCTGAGGAGAGGATGCAGGGCAGTTTACTTGAGGGACAGAAGTGAAGGGAGTGCTGCTGGGTGAGAGGTGGCAGAGCAGGTATGAGGAGAGTGAAGGCGGTGTGGTGTCACTGTGGCTGAAGAAGAGGCAGAAGCCTCCTCCAACTGCGAAGAACTGTAATTTCATACCAAACAATTTTATCCTAGAAAATATTCAATAAAGGGAATTCTATTAATATTTAAAATCTAACTTATCTTGGAAATTACTGTGACAAGAGTTTTTTTAAGCGAAGAAATCCCCAAGTTGCAAGTTCAGCCCCCACCAGTAGTGCTGTAGTGAGATCAGAAAGACTGTCTTGTCACAGCGTTTTCTAGTGCTTTACGGGATCTTCCAGATTCAGAGTCCCACTTCAAGTGTGAGGAGGCACTGACGTCTCAAACAATGCAGATTTTCCTCACATTGCTTTAATTTCCTCACATTGTTACTTTTGAAAAAACTGTAGAGCTTATGGTCTGAAATCAAAGGTACTTAGGTTTAATCCCCAGATTTTAAGTAGAAAAATTATACAATCTTTCTATTTAGTTCCCTCACCTGAAAAACGTGGGCAACTGTGGTAATCACCTAACAAGTGTTGTGAAAATTTAGTTCCCAATATAACGTCTGGGGCCCAACAAGCAGTCAGTAAACGGAAGTGAACATCAGGTAGTCTTCACTACCCATCAGGACAAACCTGTGTTGGGATATGTTTTAAGGAACATCAAAAAATATGTTGGGATATTAAAAATTCATCAAATACTCTGGAATATCATACCCCCATAATGCAAAGAGGAGCAAAGCCACCCGACCGGATACCAAGGCTGTGCTGTTATAACCCACCCTGTTGTTCCCTGATGCAAGGAGGCATTAAGGACATGGCTGCTTGTCTAAAACTCACTGGTAACAACTCAAATTCATTCAATGTAATTCAAAATATGGGACAGACTTCCTTTTCTCTCCAGGCCACCTAACTGTACTAGAATGTATAAGCTCCACTGCCCACGCTGACCACTGTGATTTATTCACTACGGATCCCTGGCATCACAAATGTCTATTTATGAGTGTAGATACACCCCATTTCTAAAAATTATGATAAAATATATATGACAAAAATTACCACTACAACCATATTTAACATTCAGTGACATTCAGTACATTCATAATTGTTGTGTAACTACTACCATCTACTTCCAGAACTTTGTCATTAACCCAAACAGAAACTCTGTACCCATTAAATAACTCCCTATTTTTCTCCTCCTCCCATTGCCCCACCCACAGCACCTGATAATATCAATTCTACTGTTCCTATGAATTTGCCTATTCTAGGTACCTCATATAAGCACAATCATACAGTGTTTGTCTTTTGATGACTGGCGCATTTCACTTAGCATGTTTTCAAGGTTCATCCATGTGGTAGCATGTGTCAGAATTTCATTTCTTTTTAAGACTGAATGACATTCCACTGAATGCATACACCACATCTTGTTTACTCATTTTTCTGATGACTGACAGATGGGTTGTTTCTATCCTTTGGCTACAGTGAATAATGCTGTTATGAATATCAGTGTAGAAGCATCAGTTTTGATCCTTGTTTTCAATTCTTTTGGGTGTATGTCCAGGAACAAAATTGCCAGATCATACGGTGATTCTAACATTTAACTTTTTGAGGAATTGTTACTGTACCATTTTACATTACTACCAGCAAAGCAAGGCAGTTCCACTTTTTCCATATCCTTGCCAACACTTGTTGGCAATTTGTATATCTTATTGGGAGAAATGTCTAGTTAAGTCCTTTGCCTATTTTCAAGTTGGGTTAATTCCTTTTTTTTTTTTTTTAAGAGAGGGAAGGGAGATGGAGAGAGAGAGAGAGAAACATCAATGTGCGGTTACTGGGGGTTATGGTCTGCAACCCAGGCATGTACCCTGGCTGGGAATTGAACCTGCGACACTTTGGTTTGCAGCCTGAGCTCAATCCACTGAGCTACGCCAGCCAGGTGGTTAATTCCTTTTTATACACATTATGTTTAGAACAAAATGATCAAGACGACTGGCAAAAAAAGTGTCAAAAACTACACTGATTTTCATTCATTAATGTAAATTATGTAGATCTTAACCACCACATTCTGTTATAGACGTATACAAATATAATCTCATATGTATGGACAAAAATCAACATTTAGATATAACTGTTTTGTAAAACACAGACCATGTTGAGACTATCTGGCAGAAACTTAAGTCTTTTCAAGGTAAGAATTAATATTTTTGTGTTATAAGAAAAGGAGCAATCCAACAATAAGACACGTGAAAACCTCACCATGAAATATACCTTAAGCTTCAAGAACGGCAAGATCCAAGCCCTGGCTGGGTAGCTCAGTTGGTTAGAGCATTGTCCTGATACACCAAGGCTGAGGGTTTGATTCCCATTTAGAGCACATACAAGAATCAACCAATGAATGCATAAATAAGTGGAACAACAAAACAATGTTTCTGTTTCTCTCTCTCTCTCCCCCTTCCTCTCTAGTATCAGTAAAAAAAAAAAAAAAAAAGAAAAAAAGAAGAATGGCATCATCTGGGGTAGCAATTTTTACCTGTCTAGTGGAAGATCAACTTTTGAACAATTAAAATGTCCTGCATTTACATTTGGAATGTTTCTATACTTACACTTAAAAAACATGTATTTCTAATGATTTTAAATCTACTTCATATCAAAAAAGGAAACTATATGGTGGAACCCTGAACCTGGACTGCAAAAGCAGACAGTTTCCGGATTTCTCAGTGCTGCCTTTCTACAACTTCTGCCAGACCAGAAACTGATTCTACCACTTTCTCTGGAGTAGGGTGTGTGGTAAAAGCATTAGGGTTTCAGTGGTATCTCCCATAAGAAGGAATAAATGAGGGTGCAATGGTAATAAGTTATCACAGACAATGCTCACTACATGAGACCCTGTGCTATGCACATTAAATGCATTACTCTATTAATCGATGAGGGCAGTACTACTATTATTGCCATTTTAGATGATGTCCAAGTACAATAACACAACCAGATTCTAATCTAATTCTAACACCACAGTCCACATTCTCACCATTATGCCACCACACTAAGATATCAATTAAGCAGACCATAGGTTACCAAATCAACTGAATGGTGATATTAACCTCTGGAAAACAGAGGTGCAGCTTAAGCTTGATAAGAAGTAGCTACAGGTCAAAATGTAACAGCTTTTGAAAATATGTAACTGGCTGAATCAGTCACAGAGCCTGAGGAAGCAGAGCCGGCTTTGCCACACAAGCTCTCAACAGTTTTACAGTCTCTGCACTGGGGAGGATGTGACGACAAGAGAAACAGGCTATATTCCTCTAGCAGTAGGGTTTTTTTATTCATGGACTCATCTTCCATCATCCATAGAAGCGGTGAAATTTTATTTTTCCTTCACGTCTGAATATGCTTAAAAGTTTGGGTTCTAGCCCTGGCTGGCGTAGCTCAGTGGATTGAGAGCAGGCTGAGAACCAAAGCCTTTGTAGGTTCGATGCCCAGTCAGGGCACATGCCTGGGTTGCAAGCCACGGCCCCCAGCAACCGCACATTGATGTTTCTCTCTCTCTCTTTCTCCCTCCCTTCCCTCTCTAAAAATAAGTAAATAAAATTAAAAAAAAAAAAAGTTTGGATTTTGAGTTTTATATTGCCTCACTTAAACTGATGTTAGTCTGACTGTTTACTTCCCTCGGGAGATAGAATTCAGTGAGCAACAGTGCATGACACAATTCTAATCTACTTACGTCAGGTTTTACACTGTTCCTTCCTCACCCCACAGCCCTCAGTTTAGAATTTCATATTTCTTTGGCTCTACTGTGACCACAACAGATCTACCTGGTAAGTAAACTGAATATACAAAAATATAAAATCAACTAGGGAAATAGTCCCAAGAGAAGTTTAATAAATGAATTATGAAACTGAAATAGAATTTAATACTATTAAGGCTTGAGGGCCTTGTTTCTCAGCACTAGATGGCAGTGTTACAAACCAAATGTGCTGTCTCTGAGTAGGGACTGATTGTGGATTTAAGCTAATTTTAGTTAATCAGATGGCTTCTGACGATATGCATAACTCAGTATTTTAGAAAATGTTGCCACTTTGTTCTAGAAAATGGAATTTTAAGTGTAAATGTATGTAAGAAATGAAAAAATAACTATCAGCATTATTTGCATTAGAGGGTACAATTCTTTGAGTATCCACCACTTGAATTCTGTATGTCTACAGATCCATCACTGATGCTTTTGTTACAAGGTTGAGCACCCGTGGCTTGTCACACTCATCTCTCATCTTTCGATGAATGGTGCTTTCTGGTTCCTTAGACATTTTTTGAGGGGTTCAATTCTTCATTTGGGTCTCACAATAACTGTTAGACAATGCAAAACTCATGGCCCCATGATTAAAGAAAAGGGAAGCGACTGGCTCACTGAATACTCACAGCTGATAAACCATACCGGGAGGAATCTAGGAACCCTGCTCCTTCTTTTCCTTCCTCTCTCAAAATATATAGTTCAAAAATTAAATTTTACATAGGACCTCTTTTAATACATATTTTTGAGCTTCAGGACCCTAAATATATGTTCGGTAAAAATGGAGAATAGGAATGTAGTATACAAAATATTGTTTAAAGTAATTATCATGTAATACCTAAAAACAATATGGACAAATTGCTGATGGGAATGTAATATGGTAGAGCCTCTCTGGAAGACAATTAAAGCTGTTTCTTATTAAACTGAAACATGCAATTACCAAATAACCCAAAAGTTCGCACTCCTGGGCATTTCCTCCAAAGAAATGAAAATTTATGTGTCAAATTTGCACATAAATACTCCTAGAAGCTTTATTTGTGTTAGCCCAAAACTACTGAGTTGGCCAAAAAGTCCATTTAGTTTTTTTCCATAATATAAAAGATATTTTTAATTTTCACCAATAACTTTATTGATTTGGATACTTTGAGTATGTCAGCTATCTCCAGCTTTTGGCTTCTGGTGGGTAGAGGCCAGGGGTGCTGCTAAACATCTTCCAGTGCATAACACAGCCCCACAGCAAAGAATTATTTGACCAAAATGTCACCAGTACCAAGAAACTTCACAAATTACTTTTGACATGTTTGATCAGTCACAGCATCTTTTCCATACACCACGTAAGTCTTTTTTTTTTTTGCATTTCAGCCACGTTTTTACCTTTCTTAAAATAATAAACTGTAATATGCTGAAAATGTTACATATTTTCTTTCATCTTCAATATTAAAATGGCTGCATAAAAATTCACCAATTTTGGTAAGTTTTTAAAGATTGCATTATGATGTGGCAGCTGTCACAATACAATCTAACAACATTGTTTCAAATGACGTTAAAAACAACTAAGCACACTACTAGACACATTTCAGAAAAAATGTAATAAACTTTTTGGCCAATCCAACAAAAACCCACATGTCCTTCAACGGGTGAATTGTATACCATTTATACAACATTCTTGAAATGACAATTTATAGAACTGGAGACAGATTAGTAGCTGTTAGAGGTTAAGGATAAGAGGAGAAGGGAAGATAGGAAGGGTATAATAGGAAAGGCAGTGTCATAATAAAAGGGCAGTCCTGACTGGTGTGGCTCAGTGGGTTGGGTATCACTCTGTGAACCAAAAGTTGCCAGTTCAATTCCTGGTCAGGGCACATGCTTGGGTTGCAGGCCAGGTCCCCAGTTGGGGGCATGTGGGAGGCAACTTTCTCTCTCGCCTCCCCTCCCTCTATAAATGGAAACAAACAAACAAATAGAATCTTAAAAAACAAACAAACAAACAATAAAAGGGCAACACAAAGAATCCTTATGGTGGGAAGTCTTCAGTATCTTGACTTTGGTGGTAGATATACAAAGCTACAATACATGTTACATAAATATATAAATTTATGTATAAATGTTGTTAGATTGTGTGTGTATGCATGTATATATTTAGTTCTGTACAATTTTATATATAAAATTGTACAGAACTAAATATATACATGCATACACACACAAATACAGATAAAATTGAGGAAATGTTAACTCAGTGGGTGGAGTGTGTCAATATCCTGGTTGTGATATTGTGCTGTATTTTGCAAGCTGTTATCAATGGGGGAAATGGGTAAAGGCTACATGGATATTGACACAATGTATCTATTTCTGTATTATTTCTTAACTGCATATGAACCTATAATTACCTCAAAATGAAAAGTTGAATTAAAAAACTAGGTTTTCCTTAGTATCTGTTCATTTATTAAGCCATCAGTTACAAGGCAGACAAATTTGCTTGCCCCCAGGGAGCTTACATTTTGGTGGGGAGGAGACACAATGAATATATATGAAAACTACAAACCGTATTAGTGGGGTAGAGGTCTTAGGAAGAATATAAAGCCCAGCAGGATAGGGAAGAACTACTATTCAAAACAGAGAGGTCAAAGAAGGCCTCACCTATATAAAGGACAACTGTGACCTGAAGGAAGAAATGGAGCAAGCCATGAATAGGACAGAAGTATTCCAGGCCAAGGAAACAGCAAGTCCAAAGGCCTGCCCATGGCAGGAGCTAGCCTAGCACATTTGGGGAAAGGCAAAAGAGCCAGCAAGGCTGGGGCCAAGTGAGCAAGGCAGAGGACAGAAGATGAGACCAGGATAGGGGGCCAGATCAAGTAGGGCCTCATGGTCCACTGCCATGACCTCGGCTGTTGCATAAGATGGTATACCACTGGAGAGTTTTAAGCAAAGGAATGCCATAATCTAACTGATGTTTTGCCAGGATTACTCTGGCAGCTGGGTTAAGAATACGTGAGGGAGTGGCAAGGACAAAAAAGCTGGAAACCAGCAGAGGCTACTACTGTAAAATCCAGATGAGAGATAGCTACATGGACCAGGGGAAATCACATGAGTAGATGTCATTATTTTGCCGCCCATACATACCTTGAAAGATAAATGACAAACCAAACCTGTACCGCATTAAAATCCTTATAAAATGTTACTCTGTATTTTGTTATCTGGGACAAAGCTAGGACTTTAGCTGTACAAACCTTATCTTGTGACCCTGGTGGCGTCTCTTCTAGAGTCTCAGTGCTTCCCAGATTGGAGAGCTGAGTACTTGGCTGTAACCCAGGGCTGGAGATATTTGAGTCACCCATCTGATTCTTAAATTAAAAGGAAAAGTTTATCATGTGAAAAAGTTTGCTATTATTTGGTTCAAAACACAGCAACTGAGGTTATCAGAAGTGCTTTTTGAAAAACAAGCAAAAAATCCAAACGTTTTACTTTGGACCCTCATGTAACTTATACAATAAAATTTCTAGCAAGTTGAGCACTTCATTTAGACAATAGTAGCAACAACTGTTATTTTTATAACCCTTTTAAGGAAAAGCCAATGGTATTACTTTATTACATATACTTTTCCATTAAAAAAAAACTTCCTACCAATTTTGTTGAGAAATAACTGACACACATCACTGCACAGGTTTAAGACATACAACACTATGGACTGATTTACATGCACTGTGAAATGATTATCACACTAGGTTCAGCTAACACCCATCTTTTCATATAGGTACAATAAAAATAAAAGGGTCTTTTTGTTTTAACATATGGTAAAATTAGCCTTTTGGGGGGTAAATAGTTTTGTGTACCTATCACTATAATCAGATGTAAAATAGTTCTATCACCCCCAAAACTCCCTTATGCTGTCTCATTGTAGTCATAGCTTCTTGCATTCTTAGAAACAAGTGATCTGTTCTCTGTCACTATAGTTTCGTCCTTTTGAGAATGGCGTAAAAAATGGAACGCTGACTTCTCTTTCTTAGTATAAGAAAGGCCTTAGTATAATGCCTTTCAGATTAATCTAAACTGTTGTACGTTATTAATGTTCATTCCTTTTTGTTGCTGAGTAGTATTCCATGATATGACTACATTTCAGTTTATTTAACTATTCACCCATAAGAGGGCATGTGTGTTGTTTACAGTTTTTGGTGATACAATTGTAAGGCTTTTTAGCATAGACAAAAGTTTCATTTCTCTAGAGTAAATACCATATTTTGCCATGTATAATGCACACCCAAATTTCTGTGCACATTATACATGGGATTATTATAAGCACAGTACATAATTATTTTATATCCATGGGTAATGTGTACCGTTATTTTTCCTTCAAAAATTTGGGCAAAAAAGTGTGTATTATTCATAGCAAAATATGATACCTAGGAGTAGTACCTAGGTCATTCAGTAAAAATATCTTTCTTCTAAATTTTTATAGTTTTGTTTTACATTTAGATCTATGATCCATTTTGAGATGATTTATATTATAGGTATTACATTTAGGTTGGGGTTCTTTTTTTTTTTTTTGCATATGGATGACCAATTATTCCCAATTATTTGCTGAAATTATCATATAGTCTTATAAATTAAATTTTAGGTCTCTAAACATCATAATTATAGGTGATAAAACAGTCATAAAGTGTTGTAAAACTCCTGTTAATTTGTATATAACACTGAAAGTGAAAATGTTTTTTGTTCTTAAAGAGAATCCTAAAAAAAGAGATGGAAGTAGAAATATGAATTTTTATTTTTATTATTTTTTTATCCTTACCCAAAGACATGCTTATTGACTTTAGAGAGAGGAAAAGGATGGGAAAGAGAAAGGGAGAGAAACACTGACTTGAGCCATCCATTGCCTCTTGCATGTGCCCTGACAGGGGCCAGTCCTGCAACATTAGCATGTGCCCTGACCAGGAATCAACCCATGACTGTTTGGGTTTGTGGTATGACTCTCCAACTAACTGAGCCACACTGGCCAGAACGAATTATGAATTTTTACTTAAATTCTATTTGGGTTATCTGATCTTACATCTGGTGAGCATGATCTATGTCAAAACGAACACCAAAAACAGTTTAGAATATTCAAGATAAAGAAAAAAAGCCTTAAACTTCACAGTCCAAAAACATTAATTTGTTCTGATACCATACAATAAATGGATGTGCTTAGTGCAGGAGTAGATACTTGAATGTCAAATTAATGAGTGATACATATTTTTTCTATTTAAATGCCTTAACCCTTATATTATTTCAAAAAGCCATTTATGCCATATTACCCATTTAAATAGAGGTGAAGTAGCCTGAAAACCTATGAATTATCTTCTAATGTATTTCTTTGTACATCATCATCAACCAGTCTCAATGCATTATGGAAAAATGTATGGAACTGAACTGTATTGGGTTACTCCTGAATACTGGATGCTGGTCTCCTTTGCCCTCTCCTGCCGCCTGGAGGCTCTGGGGCTCCCCCTAGTGCCTTTCAGGGGGGCTCAAACAAGAGCACTGCTAGGCTCAGTGATCAGAGCCCAGATGCCCAGAAATCATTACCTCACTGTTAAAACTAACACTCGTGCCTTTTTCTTTCTTTTTTAAAAAGGAAATGGTTTCACTTTAGTATAATGCTATTATCTTAAAAAAATAAATTGTATTAGAGAAAACATAAACTCAAAATGTTGTTCCTAACAAGTTCTTAAAACAGTGGTAGTGGTATAAAATGTTATGGAGCATTTTAAAAATTGGGAGTTTTTCACATAAAACTCTGTTGTTTTCAGAGAGAAGCTAGATAATTGGCAACAGCCTGGGGCTGAGCTACAACTGACTCTTTCTGACATAGTGATAGGCTCTCTGTCTGTGCCAGATCCTCTCTGGATCCTCTCTGGCCTGTTGTATGCACTATCACGGTCCATGTGGTCTTGGGGAGATTTGAGTCTGTGATTCTCAACTCAATATGAGCTACAAGATAGGATGTATCTTTAAGATGCCATTTATTTATTTTTAGAGAGAGGGGAAAGGAGGGAGAAAGAGGAGAGAAACATTCAATGTGTGAGAGTTACCTCTTGCACACCTCCAAATGGGGACCTGGCCTGCAACCCAAGCATGTGCCCCAACTGGGAATTGAACCAGTGACCTTTTGGTCCATTGAGTCACACCAGCAAGGGCAATATAGGATGTATTTTAAAAGGTCTCCAGAACTTCACATACTTTTTCCTACATATGCAGTGCCATTCCTAGAAGATTTATTCTGAGTTTTCTGTTAATGACAGTTCCCAGTGTTTGTGAGGCTTGAGGAAAATGACTAAGAGACAAGCTCTCTGGAAGGAAATCTGACAATATTGGGTAAAAATCTTTAAAATGTCAAAATCGGCCCTGGCCAGGTGGTTCAGTTGGTGGGAGTGTTGTTCTATACACAAAAAGGTTGTGGGTTTCATCCCTGGTTGGGGAGAACAAGGGAGACAACCAATTGATGGTTCTCACATTGATGTTTTTTCTCTCTCTCTCAAATCAGTGAATGTATCTTTGGGTGAGGATTAAAACATAAATAAAAGTCAAAATTATTTGAACTACCAATTCCATTTTAAGTACTTATCTTGAAAGAAAATGTGGTACCTGATTACTTAGGTACTCTTCAAGGGATATATTCTGAATTCTTAGCAGATAGAATCAGAAAAATCTTGGGTATAGTTTACATAAGGCACAGACGGAAAAATAACAGCTATTACCGTATTTTGCCATGTATAATACACACTTTTTGCCCACATTTTTGAGGGAAAAGAAAGGATGAGCATTATACATAGGCAGTACTAATTATGAATTTATAGAAATGTTTTTAATTCTTTTATTTGTGCTTATGTGTTAGAAGTGTAACTCTAGAAAGCAGTAATGATAGCTGTATGCAAAATACTACTCTGGAATATAATAATTGGTTTCATATATAAATAAAAAAATGAATTAAAAATTAAAATAAGATTTTTCCCATGAAAGTGTGGGCCAAAAACGTGGGTGCACATTGTACATGCAAACACATTATACATAGCAAAATATGGTAACATCACAATTCTTTTTAAAAAGAAATTTTTTAATTCTACTAAATGAACTCTCACAGGGACTCCCTATGTAGTTACTGTCAAAAGATGGTGTTCTTTGTGGGAAAAAAACCAGGTTACAGAACAGTTAATAAAAACTATTTTGAAAACTAGTTAATAAAATTAATATATACAAGTACACCACACACACTGGGGCGTATTTATAGATATATTTCTGGAAGGATACATAACAAGGCATTAAAACTGATTATTTCTAGGTGGTAGAATTATGGCTTTTTTCTTTTATTGTAATTTTTAAGTGTAAAAGTTTTTGTAATTTATAGGTACTACTTACATAATAAGAAAAATAATGGTGCTCCTTATTTTTTTTAAGAACAAAAAAGTCTAGGTGTAAAATTTTTCAATTAAATTAAAAACAACAACCACCACCACTACCACCAAATAACCCCTGCCAAAACCCAGGATTACAAACCCAGGCTAGGAGCAGCTCAGAATGGGCCAAGTGTAAAGGACTGTGGTTTCAGCTACTTTTCTCTACATTAAAAATAAGAAAGTTGGTTGGATTTGAAACCACAGAAATCCTAGAAGAAAACACAAGCAGTAATATCTCGCACACTTTTGGTAGTAAGCTTTTTTTCGGATATATCTCCTCAGGCAAGGGAAACGAAAGAAAAAATAAACAAATGGGACTACATGGAACTGAATGGTTTTTGCACAACAAGAGAACCATCAACAAAATGAAAAGAAACCCCACTGAATGGGAGAGCATACTTATTAATACATCTGATAAGGAGTTAATATCTAAAACTTACAAAAGAACTTAAAAACTCAATACCAAAAAACTCTCAAACAATCCAATGGAAAAATGGGCAAGGGACCTAAACAGACACTTCGTCAAAGAGGACAACATACAGATGGCCAATAGACATATGAAAAGATGCTCAACATCACTAATTATCAGAGAGATACAAATTAAAATCACAACAAGCACCTCACACCTATCAAAAAAGCTGTCATCAATAAATCAACAAATAAGTGCTGGTGAGGATGTGGAAAGAGGGGAACCCTTTTGCACTGTTGGTAGGAATGCAGACTGGTGCAGCTACTATGGAAAGCAGTATAGAATTACCTCAAAAAATTAAAAATGAAACTGTTTTATGCCCCATGATTCCAATTCTTGGAATTTATCCAAAGTAACTTGAAACACTAATTCAAAAGAATATATGCACTCTTATGTTCATTGCAGTGTTATTTACAATAGCTAAGATTTGGAAACAATCCAAGTGCCCATTAGCAGATGAATGGATAAAACAGCTATGGGACATTTACACAACAGAATACTATATGGCTGTAAAAAAGAAGAAAATTTTACTCTTTGCGACACCATGAATTGACCTAGCCTCATTATGCTAAGTGAGATAATTAGTCAGAGAAACATAAGTACCATATGATTTCACTCATATGTGGAATCTAGTGAACAAACTGAACTAACAAGCAAAATAGAGACAGACTCATAGAGAACAAGCTGACAGCTCTGGGTGGGGCTATCTGGAGGGTGTTGGGATGGTGCCAAAAAGAAAAAAAAATAGAACTCACTCATGGCCACAGACAATAGTGTGGTGAATGCAGAGGGGGGTGGGCAAGGGTGATGGCTGGAGGTGGAAGAAGGCATGAGGGGATAAACGGTAATAGAAAAAAAAAAAACCCTTGAAAAAACAGCAAAGTTGATTAAACCTAACTATAGAACTTGGGAAAAAAATTTTTATTATAAAGAGTTTTTATATTCAAACTGTCTGTATTATAAATACCTCACTCAAAAGTCTTGAATTTCATTCACTTTATTATATACACTGGACAGGAGAGATTTAGAATTGGGATTAAATCCTATCATTGAGGCCTGGCTTGTGCCCCTGCCCTTGACTCTGTCAGTTTCCCAGGTGTCTCCCTATAGATAAACAATGGAGCCACCAGGAACCATGTGGCAGCTGAGGAGAACGCATCCAAATACTAAGATAATGAATTCAGGGGTCACTGCTAATACCAACTCCATTCGGTTAGATGTTAGGCCAAGTGCAGACAAGAAACAAAACTGTCGTTTACGGAAGCTCTATTTGTGGACAGTTTTCAAGAGCAGAAAGAACATATTATAAAGTAAATATCAAAGATTTAACTAAATTTCCCAACTAAATCTAACCACAGGCAATCTCTTATTTCTTCCACACTGTGGAAGAATTTTCTTTACAACGGTAATTATTATTTTCTCCACATTCTTACTTTTGCAATGTTTATTGTAACTAGAAGTCACGTCAGATTTTTATTGCTATTTATTTTTTATCCTCACTCAAGGACTTTTTTTTATTGCTTCTTATAGAGAGAGGAAGGGAAAGAGTGGGAAACACTGATGCAAGAGACAAGAATCGACTGGTTGTGTCCTCACAACCATGAGCCCAGACCAGGGAATTGTAGTTACCCAGTCTGGGGACTGAACCTGAAACTTAGGTATGTGCCCTGGCCTGGAACTGAACCTATAATCTTTTGGTCAAGGGGTGATGTTCCAATCAACTGAGCCATACTGGCTAGGGCTCATGTCAGATTTCGAGATTGCCCACTTGACCTGGTGTTCCTTTACAGCTTTGTGCACAAACACCAAGTTTGGTTCCTTCTTTTCTTTTGTGGTTATTCACTCTTGAGCTTGAGTATGTCGGGCTACATACTGGAGTGTCTGCTCTACTGCACATATACTTTCTGTCCATGTGGCTCCTTAATCCAGTTATCACTAGGAACAGGTGACAGAGCTCTGGACTTATTAGCTACCTATTATTAGAACACAGAAAGCCCTCTAAAAAATAAGGCATCTCTGTAGATAACCCAGACCTCATTAAGGATATGAACACAAATTTGGGGAATATAAGGTGACTGAAAAGTTCAGAAAATGATTCTTGAAATTTATTCTCATCCAGTTGCTTAAAAATCAATGAATTCATTATAGAGAAGAATGGTTTTCCCATACGAATTTTCATAGATCTATAGGTTCCACCTAATTCTCTATGAGCCATTGAGGAATTTGATACAACTTAAAACTTCTCATGGGCTCTATGTATAGTTCTCTACCTAGGAAAGGGGACTTTTCGTTGGTCTTTGAATGTGGAAGGTTTATTGTATAGTTTATGGTGGAAACTACCTTCCAGAGCACTGTTTGAAAAGTTTGTTCCCTGAACTTCAGATTCTTTTTTTTTTTAAAGAATTTTATTTATTTATTTTCAGAGAGGGATGGGAGGGAGAAAGACAGAGACACCCCCCCCCCTCTCCGCCAATGTGTGGTTGCTGGGGGTCATGGCCTGCAACCCAGGCATGTACCCTGACTGGGAATTGAACCTGCAACACTTTGGTTCGCAGCCCACGCTCAATCCACTGAGCTACACCAGCCAGGGCCAAACTTTAGATTCTTAAAGGGTAGTATGTGAAAAATGGTTTTACAGTCAAATCAATCTGGGAACTGATGTTTACTGTTTTAATTATTGTAGGGACCTCTCAGCGTCTTGAGTCCTTAGTACTTAGAGTCCTAAGAGGGCAGGGCAAGAAGAGCAAAGCTAATAATGTTTTCTAACTCATTTGATCAACTGGAACCTTTTCTCAAGAATCACCTGTTAACAACGCAGAGACCAGTGTTAGAGTGGAAATGTTTGGGAAATACGGTTTTAGAGAGCTTTTCATACCTTGTTCTCTGAGCTTTTGGTGAGGGTTAAACAAGAAATAGAAGTACTTAACTCAGTGTTGAGTAAAGAGTAAGGAGACAATTATAATTCTGCTGAAACAAAGTGGAAACCTTCAGTCTCATTCCAATGAAGCGTAGGGCTTCTAAGAGCTGATGTCAAGTGAAAAGCCAGGACAGTTCCAAAGCCACAAGGTTTGAGGAACACTGAGGAAATGTCTACTACTTGGCCCACTATGGATAGTTCATAATTATGTAATGAATAAATTAATGAATGTCCACAGCATCTACTTCATCCAACTCTGGGGAGAAAATGTTATCAGTTAACTTTTTTTAAAAAAGATTTTATTTATTTTTAGAGAGAGGGGAAGGGAGGGGAAAGAAAGGGAGAGAAACAGCAATGTGTAGTTGCCTCTCATGCTCCCCCTACTGCAGACCTGGCTTGCAACCCAGGCATGTGCTCTGACTGGGAATTGAACTGGCAACCCTTTGGTTCGCAGGCCAGCACTCAATCCACTGAGTCATACCAGCCAGGGAACCTTTTAACTAAAATGCAAAACAGAAAGAAAAAAGAGTTCTAGGAAAGCCCCTCATTTGGGTAAAACTCCAAATGATGTTTAATGAAGGCTGTGCAAATTAAAAGGTGCAGATTATCAGGATACTTTTCAAAGACTATATAAATTCTTAAGACCTAGCAGAGACTGCAGCGAAGAAGAGGCATGAAGCTTTTCCAGAAAGACCTGTTATAGGTTAACTTCTGCACTCCAAATTCACTTTCTCCCATTGTAATTTTATAGAAATGGAAAAAAAGTTCTCAATTTTCATGCTAAGTCAAAGACTCAAAGGTAAACAAATTTCTTATCTTTTAGACTTAAAACTAAAAGACATGCTTTTTTGAAGTAATTATTTCTGCTGACCCAGGAGGAGACTTCCCCAGTCCACAAGCCCCCTGCAGGCCTCCTCCCCCACTTTCATCTTCCCAGTTGGCATGCAGTCTCACCCTCTCGTACTCATCCTTGGCTCGGCTTAGCATCTCCAGGATGTCGATGGGCCTGTGGTCACTGCAGCCATTGGCCTGGCTGGGACTCTGCTTATCCCAAGCAGCTTGCTGAGAGCGCCGTGTCTCCTCTTCTACCACCCTACACGAGGAGAACCAGGTTTTAGAAAGACCTGTTTAGATGCAATCTGACCCAAGAACTCTTCTGGTGTTCCTTTCCAAACATAAAGGAAAAATGTCACAATAACACTGTCCTCACAATATAAATCACAGAGTCTTAGTTATCTCAGCCCGGGATATATGACTGACCAATTCGCCACTTTATTCACAGCACTGCCAATCAATACACTTCATTGTGAGAAGGACACCAATACAGAATTCCATTCTACAGTTGTTAGAAATAGGTACATTAAAAACTCTACTAAATTATCTTTCTTTTCTGAAGTATCTCAAAGTCAGTCAAAGTAACTGATAAGTAAACTCGTAAATGGACAATGCCACCAAGACAAAAGAAGTCTGCATAGCTGAACAACTCACTGTGGAAGTTTGGAATGAAAAATTCAGTTTTTAAAAATATGTATCTTGGAGGAGAATCTTCAAAAGTATGATAGCACTACAGGCAAACAAAAGGTTTCCCTCATTTTCTCCTTAAAAACCACTCAGCGGGTAACTGAGGTCAGGATGACTGTGGCAATGCCTTTATTCTGACTCGTGCTGCTTAGGCTAATTCTGTACTTGAAAATACATAAAGCAAGAAAAGGTGAGGGTTAAGAATGTCACAGGGCTGGGGTCTCTAAATCTATCTGTGGGGTCTTGAGAATATCCCCCTCCATAAAGGTCTGAAGCAATTATGGCAAAATGTCAGCAACTGAAAGTGAGGTGGTGAGCACATGGCTTCTTAAGTGTTTCTTGTATTTTTCTTCAAGCTTGGAATAATAGTAAGTTTTAATAAGGCAACTAGTCTCTCTCTTTTTTTTTTTTAAGATTTATTCAAGTTTCAGTTCCAACTGCAATGAACAGGACGGCCTGGCACAGAATATCATTGGCACAGTCACAACTTGATTGCTGTATCAACTGAGAATTCTTCAGACAGTGATGACGACAGGCAATACAAACAACAATTCAGTAGTAAAGGTTTTGTGTTATTGTTTTTATGGAATAAGAGGAACAGGGCAATGATAGATTGTTTAGTGTCACTCAATTCGCTGCTTTAAAATAGCCCACCCAGAAACTCCTAGTGTATGTGGTTTCTTTTATTTGAAAACATTGGGTTAAATAATATTAAAGACTATTTATTTATTTAGACTTTATTTACTTTTAGAGAGAGGGGAAGGAGAAAGAGAGAGAGAGAGAAAGAGAAACATCCATGTGTGGTTGCCTCTTGCACGCACCCCCCTACCCTGGGGAGAACTGGCCTGCAACCCAAGCGTGTGCCCTGACTGGGAAACAAACCAGCGACCCTTTGCTTTGCAGGCAAGCACTCAATCCACTGAGTCATACCAGCCAGGGCTAAAGACTTTTTTTTTAAAACAGCAAAATCATTCTGCGTTTTTTAATATACTAAAATGTATTATGATTCTCTAAGAAGGGTGGGCTTATGTATTTCCCCAAATTTATTTGACTATAGAATCTTCTCCTGAGGCAGGATTCCTATTTGGAAAATGCTACTTTAAGGTAATGATATCATTTTTCTATCTAGATTCTTATAGCTCTTAACAGGATTACTGTTTCTTTTCAAAAAGATTTTATTTATTTATTTTTTAGAGAGAGGGGAAGGGAGAAAGAGAGGGAGAGAAACATCGATGTGTGAGAGAAACCTCATCAACTGGCTGCCTCTTGCAAGCCCCAGTTGGACACCTGGCCCACAACCCAGGCATGTTCCCTGATAGGGAACTGAACCAGCAACCTTCCTGTTTGCAGGCTGGTGCTCAATCTACTGAGCCACACTAGCCAGGGCAGGATTATTATTTCTAAAACAAAGGTAGAACCATGAACCTTATGATAGACTGAAAGAAGACTGGCATGTGATAATGAGGATCAGACCACTTAGAATATTGATTCTTTTATGTCCATACTGGTAATCATCTCTTGGGAAATATTGTATTGTTACTGTGAGGTCTGTAGCAAAGTCTAAAAAGACTGGAGAGATAGACATTGGTTATTTTTTGATGGTGATTTATAAGCAATTTCACATTTTGGTACTTTTCTTCATTTTCCATAGTGAACAGGCACTCCTTCAATAAGAAGGAAAAGGACTATTTAGAATAACTTATTTAATATATTCAGTTATAGATCACACTGGCCTGAATCTACGTTTCATCAAGGACTCTGGTCACACAATCTGCTTCTACCTACCTCCTATCACGCTGCCTGGCTTGCCCATGCTTGTATTCACCTCTTTGCTGACCTGGTCTGGATCTGTACTTTTGATTCAGAAGAAGACATTTCTAGCAACCTTCTGCTCACCCGTGGGAACAGGCGCCTTACAAAGCTCACCACTGCTGAAAGCAGAAGCTGTTGGGTGGTGTGGAAGGGACCCTCCCCTGAGTAAGGCTTGGGCTCTCAGACCTCCTCCAATTCAGACTCTGAAGATGGACCTCACTTTTCTCCCTTCCTCTCAAATCATCAAATATGCCCCAAAAACTATCTGTAAGACCAGGAACAGAGCTCACTTCCATGAATTCTCTAAATTTTATAGTCTATGCAGGCAAACACTGAAACAAGTTTTACTGTTAAATAGTTTCTGGCGGAAGGGATCTCCTCTTTAGGAGAGTCAACATCTTTTATCAAGTTTAATGGATTTTCAACTTTGCAATCACCAAAGAGAATTTCCAGATTTATATACAGTACAGGTTTAGAAATGTGCTTGCTCTCCTAATAGCTTCTCAGTTTTTATAAACCACTTTTGGAATAAATAAACTTCTTACTTGAAGAATTTTTATTAGGTATATTGCAGCTTTCAAAAGTGACAAAAAGATCTAAAGTTAACAGAATGGTCATTGACAGACACATTTATTTAGATGCATAATATGCCAAAAGGAATTTTACCTGTGTTTCTTCTGGTTAGCACACATGACATTTTGAAATATGTAGCAAATAGAAGCTGTACACAGGCAAAGTTAGAGCAAAGAAAGATAAAGCAGTCTTTTTATCTTTGGTGTTCAGAATGCCATTTATCACAAAGTTAATGTGAACATATAAGGTATTCTCTTCAGTCATAAATAGGCCAGACACTTGAAAACTCACTATCAACAGTTTAACGAGGGTATTCTTTAATCACTTTTGATACTTCTCCACTTCAAGTAAAATAAGCTGAAAGCTTAAGTGAATGTTTCTTTTGGGCCTTTCTAGTGAAAGAACCCTGAATGCTCTTCTTTTTCCTCTCTGCTTCCTGTTTCTACTTCCTCATCCTATTTTGGGGTTCAGTATAATATTTTCAGACACTTTTAAGCCTTCAATTTCATTTATCATCTGAAGCATTACAATAGGGGTACCGCTTGCTCTGACAGAGAAAAAAAACTCAAAATGGTTTCTTGTGAATAGCTGCTAGAGCTAAAGAAGCTAGATTCTTTTACTCAGGATGCAAAAGCTCTCAACCTGCAGGAGAAAGTGTATATACAGTTGACCCTTGAATAATGTGGATATAAGGGGGGCACCGATTCCCTGCACAGCTGGAAATCTGAGTAGTTTTTAACTCTCCCCAAAACTTAACTACTAATAACCTACTGTTGACTGGAAGTCCTATTGATAATATAAATAGTTGATTAACATATATTTTCTGTTGTAAGTTAGAGAAAACAAATGTTATTAAGAAAATCACAAGGAAGAGAAAATAAACTTACACTACTGTATGTATTTATTGGAAAAAAATATCCATGTATGGACCCATGGAGTACAAACCTGTGTTGCTCAACAATCAACTGTATTTCTATATTCCAAAGTTTAGATATTAAAAAAATATCCTGGATAACCAAGAATCAACAAATCCGTCCATGCCTTCTAGGTAAACAGAAGTAAGCTGTCTTTCCTGTTACTTTCAAAACTGCAAAAAAGTAGCAGTCATCAAATAAATGACTTCGTAAAATAGTTTTTATCTGTTTTTTGAGAAAAGATGCTCTAAAGAGAAAGTATGGTTCTAGAGAGTCAACACATTTTCAAATATGAATGACACAGGTTCACCTGCAACAATCCTCAGGGGATGCACACAGCAATAAACACAGCCTACTCTGTGAGCTACAGCCAGAGCAGGCAAAGCAGGTGGCTGATTAACATCCAATCAGGACAAGTTAGCAGTCCTGGATTAAAATCTTAGCTATGAGTACTTCTTTTAAAGTGCAAACATATCCAGAATTGGAATTTTGGGGTTTTTATTTATAAAAATTAGTTTTAAAATAAGATTGTTTCAAACAACTAAGATTGCCTTCTCCCAAACACATAGATAAAAATCCTGCAGGAGAGAAAAGGGAATCTTGATTTGACAGAGGGGAAAGAGCTGTCAACATTTCTGAGAAGATTCAGGCAAAAACTGAAAAGGGAACGTAAGTGCATCAGAATAAGTGTGGCCACTGTAGCATTTTGCCCAGAGCTCTGGAGCTCCTCAGGCCCCTCCAGAACCACCGTGTCTTGAGCGCCCACAATCCAGACTGGCAATGCCAGCAATACAGATGAGCCATGAGGCGTGGCTTCTGCTGGAGGGCTTGAGTAAGGACAACGAACCACCCTTTAGAACATTAACTCAATGAAACTTGTTTTCCAAACTCCAAGATTCTGGCTTACAAAAAAAATCTCTCGGAACACAATCTATTAATGGATTGGCAACTATTAAACCTAGAATCTGTGTCAAAGACAAGTTCACTTAAAAGAGTGAATATGGATGTGTGCAGTTCTCCACCAGCTACTGAATACAGTACCACTTGTTACAGAAAATCTGGAGAGAACCTAAGTCGGATGTGGTGGTCAGGCTGCAAACTGCACGTAGACGGTATCACCTGAAGCTGAGCAGTATGATGGCACTAACCACATGTTCAACAGTAAGATTCTGGTTAAACTACAGTCTATCCACAGGACTGGATACAATGCAGTCACTGGAACATTAGAGAGGGCTTTTTAATGCTCTGGAAAAATGCTGTTGACATGAAAAGTAGGATGTACATACGGTATGCTATTTTTGCAAGAAACTATCAACTATACAACATAAAGTACGCATAAAGAAAGACCAGAAGGAAACATGCTAACATACACTGGGTGTAGTAGTAGGATTATAAATAATTTCAGATTTCTTTAGGCCTTTCTGCCTTTTCCAAATTTTTGACAATAAACAGGAAATTAGGAGGAAAATATATAAGTTAGTACACTCTAATAACAAAGTAAAGTAGGGAGAAAAATAATTTTGTCATATACCATTAATTAAATAAATCTATGGACTGATATCAATACTTACTCAGCCATGAGTTTGGCTATGCGATGACAGTCATTCTTGTCATAAAACCAAATACTGTATATTGACACTTGAAAAACAAAGAGAAAAAAATGATAAGGGGAAATGAGGTTTAAACATACATGTAAGAAATACAGTATTACCATGGAATGCCACAGAATGTATCACCAGACTCTCAAATTGTTAAAGATTCCTCTAAAGGAAAAAATGCCTTTCCCCCCAAAATGTTGAAAAAGGTCTTAATTATTGAAAACCAGTTCACCAGCTATCAAGCACTAGAACCTTTGTGAGTCTTGAAACTTAAAATACAAAATATGTTACAGTAAAAACAAAGCTTTAAAAACAAATACCAGCTCCAGACCCATCCTATGATCAACTCTGCCCATCATACTTCTTTTCCCATCTCTCTCTCTCTTTTATTCCCAGTATGGTGATCAGCACAAGAAAGCCCACAAAATCAATTTGGTGAATAGATAAATGAGCTTTATTAATGGTAACAATACATAAATATGCTGTATATACTTTTTGGATAACGCAGACCAGAAATGCTGAGTCTGTGTCAAAATAAGCACATGGGTAGGTGTGGCGTACTGCCACCATGTTCGTACTGCTACTGTGACACAGCTTGTCCCAGGCTGCACCTCCTTTCTTACTTTCAACTACTCCCTGGCACAGGGAGGGCAAGTATCATTACTCTTTCTTTAAAAAACTGAACTTTAAATTTTGATATAATTTTAGCTTCACATGCCTTGTAAATAAAATAAGTAGAGATCTTGTGTGCCTTTTGTTTGCTCCAACTGCAACATTTTGTAAAATGATAATCCAGTACCACAGCCAGGCTATTGATACTTATATAGTCCACATACAGAACATTTCTATGGCCACGAGGATCCCCCATGTCCTTTTATGGCTACACCCACCTCCCATGGCTCCGCCATTCCATCTGACCACTGGTACCCTAATCTGTGTTTCTAGAATGTTATATAAATGGAATCACATAGTACGCAACTTTTTGATATTGACTTACCTCACTCAACATAATTCCCTTGCTTACATCAATAGTTCATTCCCCCCACACTCCCTGCTTTTGCTGAGTAGTATTTCATGGTACAAATGTATGAGTTTGTTTAACCATTTATCGACTGAAGGACATCTGGAGTGTTTCCAGTTTTTGGATATTATGAATTAACCTGCTATGTTTGTGCACAGGTTTTTGTGCAAGACTAACTTTTTTTTTCCTTTGGGTTAAATGCCTTAAAGTGTAGTTACTGAGCCACAGCAATTGCACGTTTAATTTAGTAAGAAACTGTTAAACTGTTTTCCAGAGTGGTGCTATTTTATACTTCCACTTGCAATGTGTGAGCAATCTAGTTTGCATTCTTAGAGCACTTATTGTTCTCAGTATTTTAAACTTTATATGCATTTTAATAGGTGTACACTACAGCATCACATTTTTTTTTTTTTTTTTTTTGCAGTTTGTTAACTACTTGACAATCAGGAGTTAGTTCTCACTCACATTAAATGTTCACAGATTTTTGAAAGTCGTGACAGGTAACCAACATATAAAGCTTGTCTGGTCAATCTTCATTCTCATTGTTTTCTGGACAACCGTACCAGAATACAGTATGGGACATTCCTATTCCTTGGCCCAGACAGCTTTGTTGAGCCTGGTATCAATGCACACATCTGGAGTGCCCATCTCCTTCATGGCAAGTTTCCAGATTTCTCTGAACGCCCAAGGGGCAGGCTTCTTGAAACCCACTGGATGGGTGTGCTTGTAAATGCTGATGGTGTATTCTCTAGTCACTACCATACTGATGGCAGATTAGCCCTTGCTCCTCTTGCTACTCTTCTTCAAAGGAGCCATTCTGGCTGGGCCCAGGTTGGAAAGGAAGTCATTGTTGGTTTTCTTTTAATTTTTAATTTCCTAATTTTAGGAAGAGGGGGAGATCAAGGGCAACATCAATTTGTTTTTCCACTTATTTATGTATTCACTGGTTGTTTCTTGTGTGTGCCCTGACCAGGGATGGAATCTGCAACCCTGCATATTGGGATGATGCTCTAACTGCGCTGCCCAGCCAGGGCCAAGTCACTGTGGTTTTAATTTACGTTCCCCTAATAGCTAGTGGTATTTATTGACTTCTCTTCATGTGCTTCTTTGTCATCTATATACCCTCTTTAGTCATATGTTTGTTTGTATCTTTTACCCCTTCTAACTGGATTTTTTTTTACTGTTGAATTTTGAGAGTTCTTTATACAGGGTCTGGCACAAATACCCCTTTTTATTACAAAATCTTTTATTACGAAGTCATAAGCATATCATTCTGTAACATAACAATACCACACTCAAGCACACCATATGACATTTTAGGTGAAATGTTCAAATTGCTGTCCCTCTCGTGTGAGACATTCATGTACCCCACCAACCACACTTAAGCAAGCCTTACTTCTACAGGACCCTGTACATTCAAGACACTAGTCCTTTATCAGGTATGTGATTTGAAAGTATTTTCATGTCTGTAGCTTATTTTTTCATCCTCTTAATAAGGTCCTTCCAAAGCAAAAGTTTTTAATGTTGACAAGGTCCAATTTATCAGTTTCCCCTTTTATGAATCATGCTTTAGGTGTTAAGTCTCAGAACTCTGTGCTGAGTCCTAGTTCCAGAATCTTCTGGTTTTTTTTTTTCTTAAAAGTTTTATAGTTACATTTAAGTTGGTAATCCATCTTGAGTTAATTTTTGCATAAATAGATTTAGGGAAAGGTTCTTGGTTTGTTTTTCTTCTTTTTTTGTCTAATCCAATATTATTTGATGAAAATACTCTTCTCTGTTGAGTAACCTTTTATACCACTGTCAAATATCAGTTGGGCATATTTGTGTGGATCTAAGATGATTTATTCTGTCCTGTTTGTTTACCTACCAGTCCCCACTGTGTTGATTGTAACAGCTACACAATAGGCCTTCATATTGGTTTGAATAATTCCTTCCTTTTTATGCTTGTTTTCCAAGATTATTTTAGCTTATAGGGCCTGTGCCTTTCTATTTCAATTTTAGTGTAAGTTTGTCTTTACCTATAAATAGCCTAGCTGGGATTTTGATAGGAAGTGCTTTAAACCTATAGGTCAACTTGGGAAGAGTTGAAATCTTTACTCTGTTGAGTCCTTTAATATATGAGGAATACAGTACGCACGTCCATTTATTGAGGTCCTCTTTCATCAGTATTTTTATTATTTTATTTTTTAAATTCTCACCCAAGGATATGTTTTTACTGGGTTTAGAGAAAGAGGAAGGGAGAGAGAGAAACAATGATGTAAGAGAGAAACATCAATTGGTTGCCTCCCCATATACGTTCCAACTGGGGATCAAACCTGTAACCTTTTGGTGTACAGGATGCTCCAAGCAACTGAGACACTGGCTCAGGGCTCATCAGTATTTTATAATTTAAGTTTTTACCCAAGTATTTAATTTTCTTTGTAGAGATTACAAATGGTATTGTTTTTTAATTTGGTTTTCCACAAGGTCATTGTTATATGCAGAAATGTGACACATTCTATCCTCAGACCTTACTAACCTCACTTATTAGTTCTAGGAATTTATATACAGACAGTCAGGTCATCTGTGAATAGGAACGCTTTCATATCTTCTTTCCCAATCTGTGGACCTTCTAGTTTTCCTTCTTGCCTTACTGCAGTGGCTAGAACTCCCAGTGCTGTGTTGAACAGCAGTGATGACACAGGACATCCTTGCCTTGTTCTCGATTTTAGAGGGGAAAACTGTGAGCCTTTCAAACAGCCTATAGACATGATGTTTGTTGTAGGTGCTCTTCATTAAGATGAGATAGTTCACTTCTACTCGTAACTTGAAAGTTTTATTCACAAACATTGGATTTTGCCAAATTATTTTTTTGTGTGTCAAAAAATACAACATGGCCCTGGCTGCTGTAGTTCAGTAGCTTAAAGCATTGTCCCATAGACCAAAAGTTTGTGGGTTTGACTCCTGGTCAGGGCATGTACAAGAAGGCAACCAACTGATGTTTCTCCCTCTCTCTGCAACAGCAATGGAAAAAAAAGTCATCAGGCGAGGATTAAAAACAAAACAAAACAATATGATCACATGATATTCTTTTTATCTCCTCTTTAGCCTGTTGATACAGTGGGATTACATGGACTGATTTTCAATACCGAACAAGATTTGCATATCTGGAGTAAAGCCCATCTAGGCATTTTTTATATTTCTTTTCTACCTACTGTTGAATTTGCTAATATTTGAAGATTTTAAAAGTCTAATTTCATGAGAGATAATGATATGTACCTTTTCTTTTGGTACTGCTTTTGTCTTATTTGGCTATCATGGTAATACTGGTCTTATAAAAATATCAGTTTGGAAATGTTTCCTTCTTTTCTATTTCCTGGAATAAACTGTAAAATTAGTGTTAATTCTCCTTTGAATTCTCCATTAAAATCTTCTAGGTTTAGAGATTTCTGTTTCATAAGCTCTTAAATTATGAATTCATCCCTGACTGGTGTGGCTCAGTGGAGTGGGTGTCATCACACAAACCAAAAAGAAGCTGGTCTGATTCCCAGTCAGGGCACATGCTTGAGTTGTGAGCCAGGTCTCTGGTTTAGGGCTGGTTAGGGCTTCTGGTTGAGAGGCAGCCGATTGATGTTTCTCTCTGTCTTTCTTCCTCCCTTCCCCTCTCTCTAAAAAAAAATGATGAATTCATTTTCTTTAATGGATATAGGACTATTCATGTTATCTATTTTATGTTGGTTGAGTTTTGTAGTTTGTGTTTTTCAAGGAATTGGTCCATTTCTTCTAAGTTGTCAAGTTGATGAGTATAAAGTTGCTTACAGCATCCTCATTACTTTTAAAGTCTGGACAATCTGTAGTAATATCCATTATTTCAATCCTGATATTGGCTATTTGTCTTCTCTTTTCAGTCCTGCTAAAGGTTTATTGATTTTATTGACTTTTTTCCAAAGAACCAGCTTTTTGTTTCATTGATTTGATTTTTCTCTATTTTTAATTTCATTGATTTCTGCTGTTATCTTTATTCTACCTTATTTCTTTAT